GATGAAATAAAAAATAAAAATAATAAAAAAAAGATTGTATTTCCAACCTCTCCCTCCTAGCAGGGCAAACGGAGACCACAAAGTGGGAACATCTTCCAGTGCATGCCCCAACCTCACCAGAAAACTCTGCAGAACAAGGAAGTTCAAGGAAGGTAAGACTTTCCTCCCGACTCAGCCTAATTCTTGCGCCCATTCTCCAGATATCATCTCCTCCCCTCTACTCCAGCCCCTCACCTGATTAGCTGTCCCTTTTCCTTCCAATACATTTTACTGGACTCAGCATCTCAGCATGGAAAACATACTTAATTCAATCTTTCCCATCCTACAAAGCACAAATGTAAATCAAATTTTAAAAGCACTCCCTTAGCCCTATGCTATCTTCCCCTGGCTAGAACCCATTTTCCTTTTCAACTCCAAGCATTTACAAAGAGCAGTTGCAATCCCTCTCCTCTGGCCTTCATGTTATGTGGGTAAGAGGGACTTTTAAGAATCTTCATGGAGAGTTTCATGATGCCCCAGACACAGGGTACCTCAAAGCAAATTCATAACCACGTCCCCCTGCAACACATCTGCTCCCCTCTCTGTCATCTCTTTTTTGACAGCTGATACCACCCTCTATCCTTTTAAGCAAGCCAGAAAAACTGGCCTCCATCCTTCATTTCTCTCTACCTCCCTTTCTCCACTCTCCCCACCCCTGTGAAATCTCTATGTCCTATCTATTTGCCCCTTAACTCTCTCTCCGAGCTGCTCCCTCTCTCTATCTTCTCTGCTACAGCCATGTCCAGTCTCAAGTGTGTCTCCCCAGCCCTCTGCAATACTCCCCTGCCCATCAGAGTTATCATTCTAAGACAGAAGATTTGTCACATCCGTCCTTTATTTAAAACTCCTCTACAGCTAACTGCCTGGTGATAAAGTCCAGGCTTCCTGCCACGGCCCAAGAGATCCTTTTGTATCTGGCCCCTGCCCCTCTGACCTGGCCCACACCCCTTGTCGCTCCTCCTGACTGCCCTCCAGCCACACTGCATTGCTTGTGGCTGCTCCTTCCAGGTGATGCCACCCCTGGCCCAACCTGCGCTCCCTCAGACTTCCACACTCCTGTAGAGCTTTCCCACCCCCAATCTTCCTCCTCCCCAGCCAGATAGTCCCTCCCCCCGTCTTTCTTTGGGCTCCCACAACATCCACTCAACTTTTCTATAATAGAACTTTTCATCCGGTACAGAAACTGTGTGCTTGTCTGTCTCCCTCACCAGACTTGGGGCGCCCTGCCAATGGGGACAGTGATCCTGACATCTGATGCCCCAATGCCCAGCACGATGTCCGACATGAAGTAGAATTTCAATACACCAAGGTTCAGTAAATGAAAGTCTGTGATGTCCCTATTCCACCTTTCAAGATAGGAGGCCTCCTCCTTGTATTGCTCAACTCCATAAGCTTTCTGTTTCCCAGAGTCCTCTGCCCTTTTCTTAGATTTAACACTATCCATTAATGATTATACATTCTAATGTTGGTCCCAGGATTATAGCCCAGACGTCTATAATTACGACATCCCTTCTAAATAGTCCCTTCTGGGTAGGGGCCACGCCATCAAACTCAGGTTTGCCTAAGTTGGATCCATAGATCTATGGCTCTGCAGCCACACAAGGGGATTAAAAGGTGACCAGAGGACCAGAGGTCCGTCCTAAATCCCTCCTGTGATTTTAAAGGTTGACCGTGATTCAATGTTGTCAGGGTGTGATGATGCAGACCTGATCTCAGAGAGAATGAATGGATTTGGAAGGCTGAACAAATTAAATCAGGCACTGCATTGGCAGCTCCTCAGGTATCCTCTCCAGTTACTCTGGCTCAGAGCTGATTCCAGCTTCAGCTGTTAGGCAGGGTGTCCTACATTTACCTCTTTAATGTGTAGAAAGTCCTTAGCATCAAAGGAGATGGCCGTGCTTGGAACAGGCACATCCTCGTCCAGGGCCCCGCAGTAGCTCACGTTTGTCTTCACAGCAAATGCCACAGGTTTGGACTAGGGACAGAACCGTGAAATAAGAGTGGGGGGAGGGGGAGAAAGAGAGAGGAGCGTTTTTTACACTGAAACCATAATAAGATGACTGATAATGTCATGTGGTAAGAAAAGTCACTTTCCAAAGAGAGATCTCAAACAAGTTTTACATTCCCAGGCAACATTGAGAAATCTGCAGAAACGACCCTAGAAAAGCTTCAGTCCTATCAGCCCAACCATGTTTCCTCTCCTGCAGTACTTTCCAATATCCCAAATAAAAAACTGTGCACTAAAGTACTGGGGAAGGATGTACAGAGGGGCGGACAGTCTGCCTTGTTCTCTAGTCTTAAAAGTCTATGTTTATTTTCATTCATTTCATTTTTAGAGACAGGTCTTGCTCTGTTGCCCAGGCTGGAGTGCAGTGGCCTGATCATAGCTCACTGCAACCTCGAATTTCTGGGCTCAAGTGATCCTCCTGCCTCAGCCTCCTGAGTAGCTGGGACTACAGGTATGCGCCACCACACCCAGCTAATTTTTAAAAAATTTTTTTTTGTAGAAATGGGGGCTCACTATGTTGATCAGGCTTATGTTTATTTTAAATGATAGCAGATACCCTCTTGCTTTGGGATACGGGAAATGTATGCTGGGTCTTAAAAAAAAAGGCAGGGAGAGGGTAAAGTAAGTATTTTTGAAATAGCCTCAGATCTGAAAACCTGTGGGATCCTAAGCAACAGAAGACCTTGTCCTGTCAGGGAAGAGAAGGGCCAGTCACAGTCAGTGCTGACGGGCAGGGCTCGTCACACGTCATCTTCTCCCTGGCTAACAAAAGCTGGTTTTGAAGCTCTTTTTATACAAATTCCTCCCCAGCAAAGTGCTCTTGGGCTGGTGCAGCCTTGTGAGGCTAAGAAAACCACCAGCCTAAGATAATGGCATGGTCACCCACATTTGGGTGACCACGATGGCCACAAAACAGATTCCAAAAGAAAACTTTAAAACAAAAATTAGCCACAAATGAGACACAGGGTTCCTGAAATTCTGGGCTGCTTTGTCACTGGCTTGTTTCTGGGAACATGACTGAGGGACAACAGCCGAGGCAGGATCCAAGTTAGAATCTCACTGATGTCCCTTCACAGGCACTGCAAAAAAAACCCTCTTGCACCAACAGAGCACTGATGTCATGATGTTGAAGCAAATGAAGACACATCTTTACCTGCCTCGTTCTCCTCTCACCTCTCTTTTAAAGATTTCACTATAAAAACAGAAAAAGGAAGGAATACACTTTATTTGGGCTTGTATTTTTCTTCTTCTAAAAATTATTGACTAGAAAGACTGAGACTGCTAAGGTAGGACTCTGTCACAGAGGGCAAGGAGGAGAGGCTGGCCATGAACCTTGTCTTATATTTTGCTACTATGTATAAATTTTCATTTAACAAAAGAGGTCTGTGCTGAAAAAAAAAAGTTGGAAGGATACAGGATGGGAGATCTCTAGTGACTCTTCTGGTTCTAGCTTCCAACTGTGCAATTTGTTTCCTGTTGCTTCCTGTGGGTGGAGAGATTCCTATGAGGGCCTCTCCCCGAGGAATAGCTGAAGGTCTACTTTGGCAATGGCTTTTATTGCTCGACTTCGCTGCACTTCTCAGAGTTGTTCAAAGTTCTGAACTTTACACTGAACTTGAGGTGAGATACTGAAAGTGAGAAAGAAGGGTAGAGAAACCAACAGGGAGATCCACAGAACAATGCACGTGTGGCCTGTAATAAAGGCTGAGGTAAGCCAGGCACAGTGGCTCACGCCTGTAATCCTAGCACACTGGGAAGCCAAGGCGGGAGGATTGTTTGAGGCCAGGAGTTCAAGACCAGCCTGGGCAACATGGCAAGATCCTGTGTCTACAAAAAATATAGAAGAAAAAAAAATTAGCTGGGCCTGATAGTGGGCACCTCTAGTCCCAGCTACTCAGGAGGCTAAGGCAGGAGGATCCCTTGAGCCCAAGAGTTTGAGGTTGCAGTGAGCTATGATGACGCCACTGCACTCTAGCCCCGGGCAACAGAGCAAGACGCTGTCTCAAAAAAAAAAAAAAAAAAAAAAAAAAGATGCTGAGGTAATGGACAAGAAGGGTCAAGAACAGGTGGGCTACTGGTACCTTAGGAGGCTCTCTGCCAATGCTGGGCATAGCAGGCTTGATGTCGGCCACATTACTAAGTCGGAAGATGACCAAAAATTCACCACCAAACCAAACACAAAAGGGTGAAGGTTCTCAGGAAATGCACCCCTGGAGACATTTCTAACCCTGGAGACATTTCTAACCTCTCTCGGGGGTAAATGGATCAGAGAACCTTGCAATTGGGAGTCTTACCAAGATAATCATAAAATGATTATTACAGAAAAATTTGAGGTAGGGGAAGGGTAGCTGATAGCTGCCCAGCAACATGCCCCTTTTGAACTGAAAAAGGGAAAGAAAGTCACCTTTGCTCTCTCAAGCTGGATAGCTGCTTGCTGTTCTCTCTCCTGTCGAATCGCTTCCCGGTCCTCTTCCAAAGAGACATCGGAGTCAGACGGCCTGCTCGTGTAGGAATCCGCTGAACCCTGCAAAGGAAAACACAGAGCAGTTTAAGTGAAGTGATGTGTAGCTTCTTAAATTGTCACATCCATAACAGCATCCTGGGGTGAGTTCCTTTCATTTGCATAGAATTTGATGCATACACTCTGTGCCTTATTGCAGATATAAATTTAGATGGCAGAATATAGTTAAGCATCTGAGTTATTCAGAAAGCAGCAATGTTGTGAAGAGAAATATTTTGACTAGGTTAAGTGCTAGGAAGTAAACTGCAATGAAAATTATGTGATATTCGTCCCTAATTCTTCTTGTTTTGTGCTATCTTTATATTAAGCCCATATTCATTTGTGAAACTGAATCCTCTTCCATCCTCTCTTTTGCATTCATCTAAAGTAAAAAGAGACTCAGCCAATTTCGAGAGCTAAATCCTACCTGTATCCTGGCTACAGGTCATCTGTTTGTCTAAGATTTCAACACAGCAAAGCAGGATCCTACATTAGTAAAATGATTTTCCAGTTTCAATGTCAACATTATTGAACTCTTTCACTATTAAAACTTCAGTCTTTGTCCTACAGCAGCCTGGACGTGGCCAATATGAACAGTGAGCAGAAAATCAACCCCGAGGATGAAAACAGGGATGTTCTCAGTTGAAACCCACACCTAGAAGAGCTATTTGAATAGCACTGAAATCCAGCCTGACTGATGTGCCAAGGGACTCAGGGTGGCCAGCGTCACTTGGTGCTCATGCTATGAGGAGAGAGAAAAACCAGAGTAGCTAGTTAAAAAGTTAACCCCTGCCCCACCCCCTCTCAAAACACCCCAAAACACCCTAGAAGTTTGCCTTCTGGCTGCTAAAGGAACATCGTCCTTACAATTTCCTTAAGATGGCATTAGCAGTTGATATTTACATAGATGACAACACTTACAAAGCAGAGGTATTGGTAGGACTGGTATATTTGGCATGTTTTATAAATCATGCACAGATTTTGAAAAGTGTAGACCTATCCACATAGCTGAGAATTTGCTATTCATTGAAGAAAAAAAAAAAGAGCTTTAAGAAATAGTTTACTGTGGCAGGAAAGGTGGCTCACGCCTGTAATCCTAGCACTCTGGGAGGCCGAGGCAGGAGGATTGTTTGAGCTCAGGAGTTCAAGACCAGCCTAAGCAACAGCGAGACCCTGTCTCTACTGACAGAAAAATTAGCCTGGTGTCGTGCCGTGTGCCTGTAGTCCCAGCTACCTGGGAGACTGAGGCAGGAAGAAGGATTGAGCCCAGGAGTTTGAGGTTGCAGTGAGTTATGATGACGCCACTGTACTCTACCCGGGAAATCGTTAACTGCTGAAACTAGCCCTTTGAAAGTTTTCTTAAATGTAGAAAAGTCTATTTATGAATTTGCTGCCTGTAAGGGCAGCTTTGTCTCTTAGTAGAGGACATCATTCTAGCCGGTGTGGTCTTTCCCATCATAGAAAAATCCCGGCACAGATTTTCCTGGCAGCCTAGAACAAGAATTCCTGGTTAGAAGTTTTACCGGAGGGTCCAGTCAAGCCCTGGTTCTAAATTCTGCCTCTGCAACACACTTCCGAAAATTTTATGCAAGTTACTGGACCACTCTGAGACAGTCTCCCTGACTGTAAAAGAAAGATATTGCCTACTTCATAGGATTAAATGGAATAAGATATAAGGAGCAGCTAATATTTACTGAGTCCTTGCTATCCATATCCGTATGGGGCTAGATGCTTTGCACATCTTATCTCACTGAATCATTTCAGCAATGCGGAAGCTGAGATTCAAACTCAGGTAGTTTAACCTTAGAGCCAGCAAGTCCAAACCCCACTCTAAGCTGCACCTGACATTCAAATACTTACACCAGGACTTGGCACATAGTAGGCACACAATAAATCTCCCTTTCCTGGTGCTGACATTTCTACATTGATAAAAACAAAAACAATTAAGAGATTCTAATCATTTTTCAGCTCATTTATATATGCACAATAGCCCATCTTGAAATGTAGCCATTTTTCTTACTGCGTAGAAAACACACTATAAATCTGATAACTGCAAAGTGTCCAAATCCATGTACTTTATGCAGCACCTTTGAAAGTGCCCTTTTCAGAGGAGGTGTATTTGTTAACCAAATTATAACCAAATTCCTCAGCAAATCTACTGGGGGAAAAACCTGGACCTACAGAATGGATAAACACAGGGTGACTGCTTTATAGGTGCATTTGTTGCCTAAAAAGAGAGCTACCTTGAAATCCTTTAATTCAGAACAGAGAGTTCTCTCAGAACACATCTTTCGTCTGAATTTAGGAACATCTGCATAAAATCCAAAGTAAGAGAGAAAGGAAATCATGTCTCTAAAATACCTGTGAAAACAGTTTGGCGTTAGTCGTAGGTAATGTTCTGTTGGAAGTGCGACGTGTGTGGTGGACCATTCTAAGGAGTTGCACGGGCCGCAGTGAAGATGTCTGGACCACTAAGTGATTAGGACGTGTTCAGTCAGGAAGGAAACACTTGCCTGGTTTGGAAAACATGTGCTGGGGAAGGCTAGTGCCCACAGTTCACAAGAAAGCAGGCTTTCCGCTGGGGCAGTGAGTCAGACAGCTGAACATACACTTCACTGCTGCCACTAGGAGATGGCTGATTTCCTGACACTGCTGCAAAGACTTTTCAAATCCTGGCATTCAATTATCTCTGCACACACAAGAAGTGACTCAAGGATCTCCTGCAAATGAACTTTACTTTGAAATGTGAAAAGGACTGTAAGAATCTCAAAACTACTTAAAAAGCTCTACTACTGCCAAATATGTAGAAGCAGAAGTCTCTGTTTTCTCCCTGAGTCTAAGTATTGACAGAGGGAAAAATAAAGCACCGTGACCCCCATTTTCGCAATTAGTGTTTTATCATCACAACATTTACTCTGGGTTTATTTTTTTCCCAATGTCACCTACATTTCCTTGTATGTGAAGAAAATCCTTGTTGCTGTCTCTCAAAGTCTAAGGACAGCAGGGGTCCAACATCAAGAGCCGAAATTTGGCACATGCTCTGCTGGCTTGGTACTGACTTGGTTTCCTGTTTTTATTTATTTTTGTTTTGGTTTGGTTTATTTTATTTCAGCTGGTTGAAACAGAGTATGAACATGTCCTGGGAGAAGGGAAGGAAAAGATAAAGGAAAGGACTGGGCTATTTACAAGGGCACCAAGGGAAGAACAAGCGGGCCAGGGAGAGTCCAGGGGGACCTGGGAGGCCGGACCAGAGGGAGCACCGGGATGGCAGGGGCCACAGAGGGCTTGGGAAGACCAGGCTGGGTTGGGGGAGATCACCCAGAGGTCTGGTTAAATATTTAATGACCAAAAACGAGAGAAATGGCAAGAAGGAAATAAAACTAGATGCTAACAGGACGGAAGTGAAGATGTGCAGATTACCAGCCCTGGACAAAGCTGGAAACCGCAGCCCCGTCAGCTTTCAATTTTCCAGAATTCCATTTCATAAAGCGGATGAGGAGTGAGTGACCCAACTTATCAGATGAACTAAAACCGGACTGTTGACCCATGTACGAGAGGCATGACAGCGCCTAGTCCCTCAAAAGTTCTTAAGCAGACGCCACTGCAAGTCATATCTTGGAGTTTCCAAGGAACCTATATATGTGTGTGTGTGTGTGTGTGTGTGTGTGTATAAGAAAAGACTTGCAGCAATTATGTGCGTATGTCAGTTTAAAAGCCAGAATGCATACTAGTAAACACCAAAAGATAGAAACACAGATCTTTCCATTAACATATGGCCCAGACTTTTATTTTTCTTTGTGTTCAATATTGAAAACAGATCCCAGCCTTATATACCTTTCATGAATCTTCTTGATTACAAAATGCAACATCCTGATAGAAACATTAGAAAATCAGTTAACTGTTGTCTCCTGAAAGAAGGAAAGTGATCTCAAGTCAAACAATGGAAGGGCTTCTTCTCATTCACAGAGAGAGGGTGCAACATGTAGACAGGACAGCTGCCACAGGCTTTGAGGACAGACAGTATTGGGTTTGACGCCGTCACCAGTTCTTGTTGGCTGCAGATCTTGAACAAGTTATTTTAACCTTCTGAGTCCTAATTTCCTTCCTAAGAAAATGGGGATAATAGTACTATACCTTGTAGAGTTTCCTGAGAAAGTTGGGATGTGTCTGACTTGAGATGAAACATCATTTCTTTTATCATCATGGAGGAAATTCAGAAAATTGCTAGTAATTAATCTTTGACCCACTAATTAAAGGTTTGGCAGCTTTTCAACTTTACATTTTTGGCTGCCCAAGAGTTTTAGGATTTATATCTTTTTTCTTAACAGCTTTATTGAAGTATAATTTATGTACATAAAATTCACACATTTTAGTGTAAAATTCAATGGTCTTTAATAAATTTACAGAACGCAATTTACAGTACTACAATCTAATATTAGAACATTTCCGCCACCTTGTGTCTCATCTGCAAAATGGGAATGAAACTCTTCTTTGGGATGATTTTGGGGAAGGAATAAGATAACGTATGTGTGACATGTGTACAAGCATAATGCCGATACCGATGAAACCAGTGCTCTCCAGCAGAACCTCTTCCGCAGTGATGGAAATGTTCCATATGGATGCTGCCCAATATGGTAGCCACGAAACACATGTGGTTACTCAGCACTTGTGTGAACAAAAGTGTGACTAGAGAGACTGATATGCTGAATTTTCAGTTTAATTTTTAAAAATTTAAAACTTTATTGTCTTTTAATTAATTTAAATTTAAACATCCACCTGTAGGTAGTGGCTAGCATACTGGGCTGTGGAGTAGCAGACATTCAAAATGTCAGTTTCCTTTCCAGATCAGACAAGTGAATGTTAAATTTAGTGTAAATTTGGTATTTTAACAGTTATATTATCACAGGTATATATATCACTTAGTGGACTAAGTGATAGTGGAATGTCCAGAGAAACATATCACTCCCAATGGATTTGAGCCTGTTTTTCTCCACTGAGTTTGCAATGACTCAACAATGCACTTT